AAATTCGTACCGTTCTAGGTATGCTACAGAACATGTGAAGATACCGATAGCGACGTCTTTCTGGTGAAATTAGGCAATAAGCAGCACTATCGCCCTAAGCGAAATACCATCGAAATCGAATTGAAGACACCGAAACAGCCAATTATACTGCCCAAACAGAAAATGACCACAGAGACGCAGATCACCGATAAGGAGCTGGACGAAGCGCTCGCTGCCTTGTGCGCTGGTAATAAGAAAAAGGGAAAGAAAGGGAAAAAGGGAAAGAAGACGAAGTAATAAACTAGAAATTTTCTAAATATTTCGCGCTAAAATCAAAATGTAATTAAATTTAATTTATTGTATTCTCTTTAAATCAATAATTATCAAATTTACTATCAAAAACAAAAACAAATACTCATATCGTAGCTAGCATATTAAACTATCGCATGTGTGTTTCAGGAGAGTAAAGAAACTGCTGTAAAAAAATGTCAATTTGGAAAAAGTGTGGCATTCGACACTTTGTTAAAGCCAGGGCTAGAATCGTAACATCCGTTCACGGATCGAAAACGATACGAAAGAAAATTACGTGATACGTCAGGCAGTATAAGCTGGATGGGACAAGGAGTACGTTCACGTATGTCATAATCCAAAAAATTTGTTTTTACGTGACGAGTAGTACGAAATCGTATGTGACGATTCGAGCTCAGTATCCTCTGCTTCTAAGAAGACTAAAAATTCGACGATTTGCCAATTTACGTATCATTCTAAACGCATGCGAAGGGTATCGTAAATGAAAAAGCATTTTGCACATTCGTTAGTTTCATATGTTACCGAGACGATATGATGTTCATACATAACATTTTGGCTGCATATAAAATTCGCACTTTATTAGTGCAAATGTATTTTAACAGCATTCTTTGCTGAAAGGCTGTTAAAAAATTCGAATTTGTTGCGGATATCGTATATAAATGCCAGCAGTGGCATGAGGAAGTCATGTACAGCATCGCTTGGAATTACTGACACGTTCAACTCGCGTCTGTAATCGCTGCTATTTGCAGTGTTGCAGTTAATGGCGGTAATTGTAGCAGATGCCAACGTTGTTGATCGCACTAACGGCAACAAAAAAACAACACCGACACTGCACATTCGTTAAGAGCATAAAGGCTTTTTAGATAAGTCGAAAAGCGCTCGCAAAATTACCCCATTCAACTAGACGAGCCAACTAAACTGACGGCTGTACGGCTGTATTGCTTGCATGGCTTGGCTACTGTAACTGCGCCTGCGCCTGCGCTGTTCCTCTGTTCCTCTGCGCGCCGTAGCTGGTGCTGCCGTTGCAGTAGCTTCTGCAGTTGTTGTTGTTGCAATTGCATGCTTTATGTGTGGCATTGCGACATTTTTGTGTGTGTACCCGACCGACCACAGTGGCCACGCATACCGGCGTGTAATCATCGTGTACATCTGGTTGTATTACAAATAGCTGTTAGTGAATTGCAAAAAGAAAAAAAAACAACAAAACAACTGCAACATTTTGCAATGCTGTGTTGCTGCTGCTGTTGGTTGCCACCACGGCTGCAATACAAGCGGCGTTTATATGAAAAATTAGAAAAAAATATACCCTGGATTGTTGGTGGTGGTGTGAATTACGAACGTTGATCGGCTGAAATTGCCCACTTTATACTCTTCTGCATGAATTGACTTGTGTTGTTGTTGCTTTTGCTGTTTAGCTGTGATGGCTTTGGCGTCGGCGTTCTCGCTAATACCTGTTAATATTTGCCATTTAAGTGTGATCCTCAAGCACGAAATCAACATTTGCTAACTTTGCCGCTGGCCGCCTCTGTACTTCATATACATACATATGTACTTTGCAAGCGAGCGCTTCACAGTTGGCTAGTCTAATTTATTAAGCGCAAAGATGTTTACTGGACGCACACGTCCACCTTCGGTTAAACACACACCTACATATGTATGTACATACATAAAGTGTAGAAGAGTTGACGGAGTGTGACTTGGCTTGATGGTTGGTTGATGCTTCTGATGAACGTTGAACGTTGCTTATACATGTTTTGGCATTCAATATTAAAAGTACAATAGACAAGTTAGTTTTATATAATATTTTAATTATTGCATACATTTACTTCGGATTGGAATTTTAATTGACCTGTAATTACTTGGTTTTAGTAAAGCAGCTTTGCGCGAAGAGATTGATGCGCTTAATCGCCTTGGAGTGTCATGATTTCATTCATTCATTCGCAAATGTTGGGGAATATGATTCTAATAATGCAAACCACATTCCATGTTGTTGTTGTTTTTTTCATACCTAAGCTCACTTGTGCGCAAGATTCTTGCAGATGTAAACTTACTTAGGGTTTAATAATGCAATATATGTATACATATAAGTACTTATTTCTGGCTTACAATTTTGGTAAAATGAAGGATGTAATTAAGTAACTTAACAACTTATTTATAATTTTTATTGTAATAATTTAAATGGCGAATTCTATTTGTCGAACATAAGTACTTTGTATGGAAGAAACTTTGTGAAAAAATTTGCCAAAAATCAATTTCAAACTTGCACTTTGTTATACTAAAATCGACTGCATACTTAGAATTCTTCTAAAAAAAATCTGATTATAAAGTTGCAAATTAGTACGCAAATTTATTAAATTTTCCTGAGTTTTGAGAACTATATTTTTATAAAAATTTGCGAAAATAAATTATAAGAAAAAATGTTCCATACATTGCGAAAAGTTCTCTGTGCCAATACTTTTGTCCAGCATTGTATATGGCGGTTGTTAAATAATAAGCTAGACTTTTATATAAAATTAATGAACATTAATCAATGGAAAGAAGAAAAGTCTAAATTAGTCAAAATGTCGCACCGCTATTATTTCACACATAGGTGTAGGTGGTGAAAACTGCGTGGTTGTGACTTTAAAGCGCACCGAGATTTGTCAAATGATCGTAGAAAACTTTACCGGCAGAGCTGATAGACGATTTGACATTTTCCACCACAAACGACGCCACACAGTGGGACGTCCCCGTATAAACTGCAGCCAAAAGTATTAACCGTACTACAAATTTGTTGAAATTTCATATATGCGCTACTCGGCACTTGGGAATGAAGAAGTGTGCGGCGGAAATAGTTAATGTTATCCGATTTTAATGAAATTCAGAGCATATTCTGGCTTAAACCAGAAGATCATACATGTGAAAGAACGTCAAAATCAGTTTACATTATCGCGTCCACTAATTGTAGAAAAGCAGTAGGTCCCTCCACTTTGTGTGACAACATCAACCAGGCGCACGCGACAAATCAGAGGAGAAGCTCGGCCAAATACTAACTTATGTGCAAGCGCCAATTTATTATTATGATTATTATTAAATACAATTTTACTCTTCATAGAATTAAATATTTTAGTTAGCGATGTTTTGTTTTCCTTGGAATCGTAAAAATAAATTAATAAGTAGAAAATATTA